CACACAGAGAACGTCGACATTTTCATCATCAAATGCACTGTTATCATTTACAACATATTTGATGTCATGCTTTATGAACACACCAACACCTCCGCCTCGTTTGCTTTTTCTATTTTTATATACAAAATTGTAATTATTTAACTTAATTAAATCAACTGTTTCATTGTTCAACCACGTTTCTGATATTACTATAATTTTGAAATGTGTATGTATGTATGTATGTATGCATGTATGTATGTATGTATGTATGTATGTATGTATGTATGTATGTATGTATGTATGTATGTATGTATGTATGTATGTATGTATGTATGTATGTATGTATGTATGTATGTATGTATGCATGCATGTATGAATTTCACAACAAATTCTCAATCCTATTTTAATAATTCTTTTGTCATAGTTTTGAGAAATTATCATTTTATTAAACTCAAAAAAAAATTTAAAAAGTTGTCAACCAAAAAAAATGTTGTACCTACCCGGCTGGAACGCATACATTCAACATTGAAATTATAGTTTGGATAAATAACTGAAAATATACAACAAGTAGGGTGTCGTCAGTAGTTCTTCTTTTAAACAAAATTTGTTGAGAACGATACTGTCATTAGCCTTACTGAGCTTTTTAGCTAAATTTTTGTATCCCGAAATAATATTTTTATTTAAATCCAAATTAAAAATAAACTCCTCAAGTTAAAAACGTTTCATAATCATGGACGGTGGTTTAAATTTAAATTGAAGTAAATATTCACGTAAATACTGGTTTGAAATTAAAACCAAAATCTGCTCTTCTTCTCGGATACGATTATTCATTGCTCTACCACTGACGTGTATTATCAGAAAGCACTATTAGTTGGATGAATTTTATCATGCAATGTGTGTGGTGCGATCTTTCCACATGTACTATGTGTGTATGTGTGAGTGTGTTTATGTGTGTGTGTATGTGTGGTGTATGTGTCTTTATGAATGTGTGTATGTGTGTGTGTGTGTGTGTGTGTGTGTGTGTGTGTGTGTGTGTGTGGTGTATGTGTCTTTATGAATGTGTGTGTGTGTGTATGTGTGTGTGTATGTGTGTGTATATGTGTGTGTGTCTTTATCACTATATGATATTTAACGTCATCATCATCATTTTTATATTACCACCACTACCATGGCTTACTTCAATGTCTTCTCATGACTGTCATCTTTATAATTATCACCATATTATCGTCTTAATCGCTAGAACGACCGACAAATTGAGAAGTTCCTCCGTGACAACCAAATTATCATCTTTACCATGAATCACAACATTATCGTCGCTTGTGAAAGAAAGAGAGAGAGAGAGATAGAGAGAGAGAGAGAGAAAGAGAGAGAGAGAGAGAGACAGAGACAGAAAGATAAAAAGAGAGATAAAGAGAGAAACAGACGGTAAGTAGAAAAAAATCAAAGAATAATAGAAATACAAATAACTTGGAGAGTAATAAAGAGAGGAGATAATGCTGACAAATAAGCATCGAAGCGGTCATGTAAAAGAACAATAAAAATAAAATAACAACAGCGACAACATTTATTATTATTATTGTTATCGTTATTGATAATGAAAACTCAGTAGTAATAGCATTAATTGAGAACACTAATAACATTAACAAAAGGTTATGGTGACGAAGGGAAAAACAAGCATTAACAACATGAACGCAAACAACAACAACACCACCACCAACACCAACAACAACAACAACAGCAGCAGCAACAACAACAACAAAAGAGATAGTAATAAAAAAAGAGTGGAAAAGGAAGATGCTGATGGTGATGATGATGGGGGGGAGGGGGAGGTTTTTTTGAGGTACCTACACGCTGGTGATTTTTTTGGGGAACGTGCCTTGGAATCGTTAGTAGTGATGATGATGACGACGACGACGATGATGACGACGAGGGTTATGATGATGATAATCATGGTGATGTTGATGATGATGGTGACGATGATTATTATTATCATTGTTGTTATTACTGATGTTATTATTATTAATAATATTATTTTTATTTTTATTAATTCAGAGAAGACGTAAGAACGGCGAACATAATTGCATCTGATCCGGACGTGTCGACTGCCTGGTGTTGGAG